GGGGGTTGGACTAGATGGCCTTTAGAGGTCCCTTCCAACCCAAACTATTCTATGATTCTATGCACAATGAATCACTAAGTCCACACTGTGACCTCTGTAGTTTGTGCAGCTATTACAGTGCATGACAGCTTTCCACAGGAAGGGAAATCTATGCAAATATACATTAAAAATAGTAAAGCCTATTTTAAAATTTCCTTTGATTTTATTAATTTGTGATTTTCAGAAGGATAAAAGCATGGAAGAGATGAACTAAGTTCCACAGGAAGGGAAATCTATGCAAATATACATTAAAAATAGTAAAGCCTATTTTAAAATTTCCTTTTTGATTTTAAATTTGTGATTTTCAGAAGGATAAAAGCATGGAAGCTATGAACTAAGTTCAGGTATGATACAAAAAATTGCAACTTCCAAGAATGAGATCTGCTTACATCATAGCTGGAATTTACCACCTAAACAGAAACTGTGATTGATTGACAATTTTACAACCATTTTTTCTATGAGTGGACTCTTCATCTTCAAAATTACTTACAAATCATCAAAAATGTGTCAGGTCATTTCTGAGCTTGATTTTATACTTTGTTCAGCTAAAACCATTATATGTATGGTGGCTCCTAAAAACTCAAATTAAAATATCTGACATTAAGGGAAAAAAATTTTACCAACAAAATCAGGTAGGGATCTGACTTCCTCAGCTGCATTTACATCTACACTTCTCCAAGCCTTTTGAAATGTTGTAGCTTCTCTGAAACAGAAAGAGAATAAAGCTTTGATTTGTACTAAATACATAAGAGTAGGGATCTGCAACTGGTATAATACTCAATGTAATTGGCAAAATGTAACATTTAAGTGAACATAAGCATCATTCTAACTTCAAAGAATATGGTTCAAAGAATTAATGTTGCTTCTTCTGAAATGAATTGGACTGAGTAATTTTCTATCCTGGGTTGATCACAACCTCAAATCTGCTATGATGGCATGAAAAGCAATAAATGCTAGATTTAATACACGTAAACTACAAAGACATACACGCTATCTCTAAAAGGTATAAAAATCTATGAACTGTTAAGTAAGAACTAGCTAGAAATGTGGAAATAGCCTTTAGCTGCCCACTGCTCTTCCCATCAGCTGGGGCACTGTGTTTCTCCTTTGGGGGAAGTGAGATTAAGGGCGTCATGATTCAGCAGAAGAGTTAAGGTGAACAGGATGGATGGACTAATTTCTTTTCTTGCTCATTACATAATCATTACTGCATCACCATGTAAACCATTAACACAGTTTAAAATATAGTTCAAAAATACGTATCAGACTGGGCTTATATCTAGATTGCCTTGAAAAAAAAAGACCTACAATTTCTTTTTAAAAGAAAAGCCGTACGATACTTATGTCATTGCAAATATTAGCCTGTTAATCTGCACCTTAACAGGCAGCAGCTCGTTATACTCAATTTACATCTGGCAAAGAGACAGTCTGTTACAAGTCTTTAGTGCTGTGACCAAGAATTCTGGAGTGTCTAGCTCCCAGTGCAAACCTTACAACTTCATACCTAGAGTCATGAACACATAATTGGGTTTTTATGTTTCTGTTCTCTACCTGTACGACGGTGGCTCTTCTGTGGAGTCATTGTAGGGCGTTCTTTCAACACGCTTCTGGTGGTAACACGGTAGTAGCCTGGCATCAGTAGAAATTTCTGAGTCCCTAACCAAAGCCAGCCTCTCACTCTTTATAGAAAACCTAGTCTTGTTCCTTACTTCATCCAAAGAGCGTACTAAGTGAACCTTCGAAGAACTACAATCAAAATGGTTAGAATTCTTTCCAACCTACAGCACTGAGAATAACAACAAAATAATTGATAAAAACAGTGGGGGGAAAGGCGGCAGAAGAGAAAGGTAAAATAACAAACACTACTTGGCACATGCGTAACAATCTTCATCCAAGACTGTTTTCAAAATAGGAAAAAAAGCTATCCCTTTCCTCAGAGAGGAAAACTGAAGCAAACTGGATTGCGTGCCTAGCTTATGGTTACAAAGAAAGTCAGCAGCAGAGTGAGAAATGCCTGAACCTGGCTTCCCGTGCCTCTTAATTTATCTTTTACTGCTGTGTTATAATGATTCTGCCTTCAGCTAATGTATCCTGATGCACAGTGAAGACACAGGAACACCCATAGGTGCATTAGAAAGCATATGCTGAAGATAACACAATTATTTTCTACTAAACCAAACAAAACCCAGAAAGGTTGGAAGTGACCTCTGGTTTGAGGTCGCCACTTTAACAGCCAGCAAACAACTGACCAACAGAGTTAACTCATTTGGCTTTTACCCGTTTCTCTTTTTTACCTCATCTTCAAAGATCTGTTTGCAGACTTGCCCGCTGGGAGCGAGGCGCACAGCCCCCACTGCCTGCATGCGGCCCAGCACCACCGACTTCCAGGCCTCTTTCCAGAAGAATTGCGATTTACACGCTAGGGGCCAAGGGGAGATAGAACATTTCAGTTTTAAAAGGTTCTCCTAAGGGTGAAAACTACACGCCCGCGGCACGGTTTCCACTATGCGCTAACACTGCCGCAGGCGGAGCATTCGGAGGATTTAGAAATACCGATGTGATGATTGACCAGCGTTTGAGGGCGCTGGACTGAAGGGGGAAGCGCCCTTCC